GAGATCGAAGTAGAAAGTTTATAGAGTGAGCCTTGGCATTTTTTGAGATATTTGAAAGCGTGAGAAGAGAGGAGAGGAAGATCGAGCAGATTAGATTAGTTTAATCGTTGAACACGAAATTCGTGAATTACTTTTGCAATAGGTATTACAAGTATTACGATATATCTACTTGTATCAACCCATGTCTCACTTCACTTCGATAACTTATCGATTTAGCTATTATCACGTAGAAGAACTGCCATTTATCTGAACTCCATTTGTTCGAGCGGAATTGTAGTTAATACTCGATTAACTGGACCGGTGTTACGATTCGATTCACTCGTTCGAGCACGATTAGTACTTTCTGTTACTTGGAGGAAAAATTGCAGGTGCAATTCATACACGAATTTATTACCAAGTGCAGTGATTAATTAATACAAGAATGTTCGAGCAATTAATAAGCAACAAGTAAAGGAGATTGTGCGTGTGACTAAACGTCTAATATCTGTGTTTTTCACAGTAATGAAAGGAACGTTGGTAATCCTTCTAAGCGTTCTCTGCATGAGAGCGTCGGGTTTACCGAACGGAGCACCGCCAGGCTCGTGCGAGGATCTGATGCCTCGTCATCCTGGAAGCTCGTACCAAGAAACTTACCCTCCACCTTACCAAGTTTTACCAGCTGCAGGACAAGGCAGAGTCCGCTTAATTCTAGGAAGCCCTCACGGCCTTGCCTACGAGGGTTTCATGATACTTGCACGTGACTCACAGACCGGTGAATTCGTCGGAGAGTTCGCCAACTTGCCCGATTTGGCAAAGATCGTCGAGTGTACACCAGGTGTTAAGGTAAGCTCGCACATTATTGCTTTCGGGCGAATTTTTATTGAATTGTTCCCTGACGCTTTAAATACATGTAATATTCAATTCTTAGAGATCCATATGAGGTTATTTATCGTTTATGACTAATGGATAAATTTCGTACATATGATTGTCAAATAATATACATGTAAGATAAGGGAATTAGCATATTGATCGAACGTTATTGTTACAAAAATCCCAGTGCTGATGTAGATAACAGAGTTAAATAAAGTATGTTGTACTTGAGATAACAAAGATAAATGAAGTATATTTGATCAGGCAATAATATATAAATGTTGACTGACGAGGATAAAAAAAAAATAGAAATAACGAAAGATATTCTTCAAGATATTAATATAATTTTTTTTAGACCGATCAGAAAGTTTGACGATGATCTACGCTCATGGTAGAATCATTTAAATCGTTGTTAACAAGCTCTTCAAGGCTATGTGAATCATGTCGTCGTGCATTCCCGAAGGACAGAGGCAAAGTGCCGCACGACGACGATTAAACGCTTTTTTCTTTTCCTTTTATTAAGAACGCAGTGACTCACACGAATACCAGCAAGAAGCACAATCTCGAGTTCGATTGGGAGGCACCTGTGGATTACGAGGGCACCATTGTTTTCAAGTGAGTATTGAAACACACGTATCTAATCCAAACGTGTGTTTCCACGATCTTATTTCAATCTTTGCAACTTACGCTCACAGCAATCGCAACGCTCATTTAAACACGTCAAAGGCAACTCGACGATGGTAATTCCACACAGTTTATTTTATTTCGATTCAATGGGTGTATACTGTGCTACCGCGACGATATACAACTATTGTACTGTACGACGATATGTAAGTTGACCGTGCAAGGAGGTGTAACCTGTAGGAATGCGGAAGCCAGGTGTATCGAATCACGAAAATCAAGTCGTACTTTCACATTAATTCTCTTGTAATCTTGCCACGACCTATTGCGTTCAAGGGTCTTGCAGCCATGATTCTTTCATTTAATCCTAATTACTTTCAGTAGTGAAATTCATCTCATACGTTATCCTCTGTGAAAACTCACGAAACGTACGCTTCATATGTTCCTTTCCTACCGGAAACACCTGGATGTCTAACGGCACAAGCACAGCAGAAGGAGCAGAATCGATTTCTCGTCAAACATCGCGTAAGCAGTGAACAAGAACAAATTAACCTGGCCGTACAGCGAGAAACGAATAGAAACTGACGATTCATTGCAATCAGGACTAATGCGAGAGTTCATTGGCGGAGTGTTGTCGATGAATTGCGCATTCAATACTGTGGGATCGAACTCGGTCTTGGGATTAACTGGTACATAGCTCGTACTCACGTAATGTGTCGCCCGCGATCTGTCCACGTATGAATTACGATTAGAGAAGCGAGCGTACGCGTGCGGCACGAGGCGCCTCTCCCGTGCGTGGAATACAATATATGTAACATGGTTAACGGTGAACGGCGAAAAAGCATTCGTTATGGAACTTTTCCATTGGTAATCGGTGTCGAATCAGTTATCCTTGAATG